CCTGAGACTGGTGTTTGAAATATTTTTCAGACTTTGCATTCCAGTGGAACAACTGATGCCACCTGGACTGGTGACCCACACCCAGGAACTGTCTCTGCACAAAGATAGTCTCAATACCTGTCTGATATCCTCCCCAACACAACCAATTAGCATTCCCCATTCTGTAGCCCTCTGCCTGACAAATTATCTTTCAAAAACCCTAGCCTCCAAATTCTCAGGAAGATAAACTTAAGAATTATCTCCTGTCCTCTCACTTGGCTGACCCTGTGAGCAAACTCTTTCTTTGCTGTGAAAATCTGCTGTTCTCAGCGCATTGGCTTTTCTGAGCAGTGGGCAAGATTAATTCCTTGAGTGATTACAAGGTCATGAAAATTTTCTCCTCTAACTTTTTTTTTTAGTGAATTTAGAGTTTTAGTTTCTATATTTAGGTCCATGTAACCCATTAGGGTTAATTTTCTTTTGTATGATGTGTGGTGATGATAGTGGCAGAAGGAAGACAAATCCTAGGCAGACATGGGGTGGGTCCCTGGTGAAACCTGACCTTCAAGCTGAAGACAGTTTAAAGCCCAGCTACAAGTCCTGGGTAAATTCACAGACCAGATTGAGAGCCTCTCTTCCTGTTTGGCATGCTTTCTTCTGATTGATCTCTGCCCTTAACCTATTTTATATATACCTACCCTTCCCTAATTGGTTTTTTACACTGTTGTGCTCATCTGGCCTTTTTTGCATATTCACAAACCAATCAGCATGCACTGCTCCATTCTGAGTCCATAAAAGACCTGTACCCAGCCACAGTGAGAGAGAGACCACCTGACTTTGGATAGGGGACCACCCTTGCATCCTCTCTCTGCTGAAAGCTGTTTGTAACTCGATAAAATTCTTCTGCACCCTCCTCACCCTTTGTCAGTGTAACCTCATTCTTCTTGGACATGGGACAAGAGTTCAGTACACACTCAACACAAGTACAAAAAAGGCTGTAACACTGTGGACCTCTGCCTTCCACTGGCAGAGGGTAGCCTCCCCATGCAATGGTAAGCAGTGGTAGGGCCAAGCCAGCCCTGGAGCCATGGGGCTGGAGCCGGCCAACAGAACAGGGCTGACAGAGCTGTTAATGTACTGCCATCTGTTGGGCTACAGACGGCAGGACTAAAAGAGCTAATTAGCATGCTGTAACATCCCCTCTGGGGCTTTGGGGTTGTGGGCACCACTGCCTGGATGCTACTGTGTTCCCCTCAGTTCAACACACCTGGTCCAGCAACAAACCCTGCACAGAGCCCACTCCTGTGCTGGTGCTTGGAACAGCTGTCCTGACCCCACACGTGCTCACTCACAAACCCCCTTCTTCCAGGGGCTAAGCACCTAGTTGTGGTGGCCATAGGATCCATGCCAGGATGCAAGTCAGGTGTGGCACAGCAAGTCAAGTAGATGGGGCATCTCCTGTGGCAAATCCAGGCCTGAGCAAGGCCTGGGAAGGGGTATTGCTGGCTGGAGGTCTCTGGCTGGCAAAGTGATGAAGAAAAATCTGGCATCAGTAAGGATGTAAGTTCTTCTTCTTCTTCTTTTTTTTTTTTTTTTTTTTTTTTTGCATATGAATATCCAATTGCCCTGGCACCAGACCCCATTTTTTGAAAAGACTATCCTTTCTTTGTTGAATTTTCTTGGCACATTTGTTGAAAATCAATCAATCATGAATATAAGGGTTTATTTCTGTACTCTCATTTTTATTTCATTGCTCTATATGCTTAGTTCTGTGCCAATACCACACCATCTTGATATCTTGATTCCTGTAGCAGTGCATTAAGATTTTTTTTGTTTGTTTGTTTAGTTTGTTTCTGTTTTTTTTTTTTTTTTTTTTTTTTTTTTTTGAGGCAAGGTCTCACTCTGTTGCCCAGGCTGGAGTACGGTGGCATGAACATGGCTCACTGTAGCCTCAATCTCCTGGCCTCAAGCAATCAAGCGTTCCTCCCACCTTAGCTTCCCAAGTAGCTGGGACCACAGGCATGTGACCCCCTCATCCTGCTAATATTTTTTTCTTATTAAAAAAATTTTTCATGGGTAGAATTGGGGTCTATGTTGCCTAGGCTGGTCTTGAACTCCTGAGCTCAACCAATCCTCCTGCCTTGGCCTACCAACGTGGGGATTACAGGCATGAGCCACCACAACTGGCCTATTTTTATTTTTTTGTAGAGACAGGGTCTCAACATGTTGCCCAGGCTGGTCTCAAACTCCTGAGCTCAGGCCATCTGCCCACCTCAGCCTCCTGAGTAGTTAGGACCACAAGCATGCACCACCCGGCCCACTTTTTAAATTTTTTGTAGAGATGAAGTCTTATTATGTTGCTTAGGTTGGTCTTGAACTCGTGAGCTCAAGTAATCCTTACTCCTTGGCCTCTCAAAGTGCTGGGGTTATAGGCGTGAGCCACCTGCCTGACCTAAATTTTTAAAAATCTCAAAGTGTAACTTCTCCAATTTTGCTTACCTTTTTCATAAATCTTTTGGCTATTCTAGATCTTCTGCATTTCTATGCAAATTATGGATTATCTTGTCAATTTCCACTAAAAAAGTCTAATAGTATTTGCCAAAAACTGAAACTTCTGAGATTTTTACCCTATTGCAAGCTAATACGTTTCAGAAAAAAAGTCTTCAGACCTCTGCTTTACCCTAACATTCCAGGTCCTTATGTTTCAATTTAAATCTACTTTTCTCTTATTTATTCCTTTTAATTGCTCATTGTTCCCCTTATAAAGATACTTACTTTTAGCTATTTGTATGTCTTTGATGGTCTCTCCATAGGAATATTCTTTGCTATTATCTACTTATGTATGAATCCTATTCTTTAAGGCCCACTTTAGACATCATTCCTTTCCTTTCCCTTTTCTGTACTTCCCTGATCTCTTCAGTTAGAAGCATTTTTTTGGTATCAAATTTATCAAAATAAATAAAAATAAGTAATCTTTGTCTTCTCAAAAATGAAAAAATAGAAATAAGTAATCTTATGTCTGGATGCAGTGGCTCATGCCCGTAATCCTGGCAATTTGGGAGGCTGAGGCAGGTAGATCACCTGAGGTCAGAAGTTCGAGACCAGCCTGGCCAACATGGTGAAACCCCATCTCTACTAAAAATACAAAAAGTTAGCTGGGCATGGTGGCACATGCCTGTAATCCCAGTTACTCAGGAGGCTGAGGCAGGCGAATCGCTTGAACTAGGGAGGCAGAGGTTGCAGTGAGCGGAGATTGCACCACTGCACTCCAGCCTGAGCAACAGAGAGACTCCGTCTAAAAAAAAAGATCTTCATCTCTGTCCTCCCATAACACATTATTTCTACCTTTGACCCAACTTAATTTTCCTTTTATTTAGTTATACATCTTATTTTGTCAGAATATGTATAATATCATCTGAATCTCTTAGTATTCTTTTTTTTCCAGTTTTGTAGAGAAGCCTTGCTGTGTTGCCCAGGCTAGTCTCAAACTCCTGTCAAGTTATCCTCCCGCCTCCCAAACTGCTGAGATTATAGACACGTGCCACAGTGCCCAGCTCTTTTGGTATTCTTACACAGGGTCTTGATTAATAAATGTATTTGCTGAATAGGGTTCAAGTTATTTTTGCGGGTGATTTTCCTGTTCCTGCCATTAGATGGCAGTGCTCAAACTTAGTAGTGCAAAGAAATACCAGGTTTTAACAATTAAAAAGGATTCTGGGTCTGTGGTCTTATCTGCTTTGAAACAGTATTGCCTTAGCATGCTATAATACAAACTACCAAATGATCTTGTTTATTCACTACTACTATATGAAACTTCTCTTTCTGTATTGACCTCTTTGGTGTGTGGAAGAAAGACTTTCATTAAAGTTCTGAACCTTAGCCTATGCAGTCAGCTAGCATTTACAAATCATTATGTAGAGCAGATTTGTGATTGTCTAAATTAATGGCATTACCTACCAAATGTGTAACTGTTACTAGTGCTACTACATTAATATTTGAAAGATTATCTTTTTTTTTTTTTTTTTGAAAAGGAGTCCTGCTCTGTCGCTCAGCCTGGAGTGCAGTGGCACAAACTCCGCTCACTGCAAGCCCCGCTTCCCGGGTTCACGCCATTCTCCTGCCTCAGCCTCCTGAGTAGCTGGGACCACAGGCGCCCGCCACCACCCCGGCTAAATTTTTTGTATTTTTAGTAGAGACGGGGTTTCACCGTGTTAGCCAGGATGGTCTGGATCTCCTGACCTCGTGATCCATCCGCCTCGGCCTCCAAAAGTGCTGGGATTACAGGCGCGAGCCACCGTGCCCGGCTGGTTAATTCTCTTTTAGAGCAAAGAACAGTAGAAACTTTATTAGATTTTATATTTTCTCCCAACCCCTATTCTCTTTTTTGAAGAACAGCAGAATGAAATGAGCTCCAGGACCCATCGAAGTAGGGTATGATGGTTTGAACAGATTCCAGTATGGAACAAAGTATCCATATTTTGCCTGAAGTCTTTCATTCATATGATTCTTCTAATGCTTCCTGGAAAATTCCAAGAACTTGATGTGAAATTATGCTTAACAGAGCACCCACTTGGCCTATGACAGGTACATTAGTCCATTCTTGCACTGCTATAAAGAAAAGAGTTTTAATTCGCTCACGGCTCTGCAGGCTGTACAGGAACCCCGAGGGCTTCTGCTGGACTTCTGGGGAGGCCTCAGGAAGTTCAGAATCATGGCAGAAAACCAAGGGAAGTAGGCACGTCCTATATGGCGGGAGGAGGGAGGGTGGGGGAGGCGCCACACACTTTTAAATAACTGATTTCACCAGAACTCCCTATCACCAGAATGGCAAAAATGGGGAAATCTGCCCCCATGATCCAACGACCTCCAACACTGGGGATTACAATTTGACATGAGATTCAGGTGGGACACAGATCCAAACCATATTAGCAGGGTTAGAATAACTTTTTGTTTTCCTACTAAGTGTTGGGCTTATTTGTAGGGTGAGTAGGGTAAGCCAAATAAAACTATAGTATACATCGTATTTTTCATATAGTATACATATTATTTTATATGTAATTATATGAAAATAATGTGTCTAAAGGAAGGTGAGTGGAAACTCTACAGCAAAATACCACTCTTTCTTTAGAAGAGGACGGCTTCTATTTTGATATAAGAAAATGGTTCCTGTTTGACGGACCACATTAGCCCTAACTTGGACTACAGAATGACTTCTTTTGAGCAGAGCTTATAGGAGAAAAGTTTGATAAGTCAAGACTGATGACGTTTTTGTTTTTTGCCTGAGAATTTTCTCAGTTTCTCTGAGAAACTGTATCACAAAATTACTATTAGATTGGTCTTATGTAGACAACTTGAAATTATTGGCAATTTCCAATTTAGCAAAATGTTGGCTATAATAACTTAGTGAATTATGACAACAACCTGTTTCTCTTAGCTTTCTGACATCTAAGGGTTCTTACAGGACAAAGATGAAGCTGTAATTGTCCAGCTCAACTGCTCATCTCCTTAGCATAAACACTGATTTGGAAAATACTTTGCGTATCACACGGTAGGAGCCTGGGAATGTTCTCATCCAAACTAAACAGTGGTTAAAGGTTTTTCAACAAAGTTCTTGCTCCAATATCTGTTTTCATACCCAATTACTCAAAGCAGATCCTCTTCCTCTTTGCTTCCTCTCCTTGCAATGCCCTTCCCTCTCTTCCCTAAACTGAAGAACTTACTTATGCTCAAGATTCAGCGCAAGTGTCACTCCCAGGTGAAGGCTTTCTCAACAAGGCCGCGGGGAACAGCCGGTTACTCCCTATCTCCTCCCAGAGCTCAGGCAAGCAAGCAGCTCGGCTTTTATCAGAGAATAATGGGATTATCTACTTTCCTGTAGGTCTCGCCCCGAGGGTGTAAGCTTCGAGGGCGGAGACTGTGTCTTTTACAATTTTTCCCGTTTTTATTGTCCAGCCAGCCCATGCAGGTGACTCTCGATGTTTCCTAGGCAGCCAAACTGAAGGAGTTTCAGCTGGCATACGGGTTCCCGCCAACCCGAGCGTTTAAAAATAAGCAGCGGGGTACGCTACGGAACAGAGGGTGTCCCTCACGACTACCGACTCTCATCGGTTCCAGCTGGTCCACGCCGGCAGAAGCGATTTTGGAGTTTGCTTTGATGAGGAAAACGCTTTCCCTGAAGAGTCCCTGAGATATTTCTCCCACTCTGTGACCGAGACACTGTCCGCTTTTCTCTAACGGTGACAGGAAGTCAATGGGAAAACGTGGATTTCAAAGGTTTGAAGGTAACAGCCCTCAGCCACTCGGGATCCAGGCTCGCGGTTGACCCACGCTGATGTCTGTGAGGAGAGGTCGCGCTGCGCCTTCCTCTCCGCGCCGCCAGCCCACAGGCTGAGATCCCACCGGAGGCCGCCACTCCCTCAACAGCCTTGTCCCTCGGTACCCCGCCCACTCCTGGGCGGAGAGCACAGTTCTCGCGAGAACGCGGCTGGCCTCGCCTCTTCGGATTGCGCGCTCTCGCGAGAAGAGGCTGAGGAACCGGCCTGCAACCTGCCAGGGCGGCTCTGCTACGCGCAGCCGCCTCAGTGGCAGCTTCCACAGCCACCTCTGGAGGGATCTGGCTGAGGAGGAAGTGGCGGTGTCACTGGCCTCGGCCTTTGCCCCAATCTTCTGTGGGCACTGAAGGGGGACTACAGGTTCGACAGTGAGTGGACTCAGCTGGGGAACTCGACGGGGGCGGCGCGGGAGGCTGGGCTTGGCTGGGGCGAAAGAGGAAAAGGGCGGAGGGGCCAATCTGGGCGTGAGAGCCAGGCTGCTGTGGCAGTGGTCTGGGCGACCGGACCCTGCTCGGGGACTGTGGGTGGCGTTTTGGGCTCCGGCCACGAGCACCCAATTAGGAGAGGCCGGGATAAGACTTGAGTTTTGCGGCTGCTGCTTTTGGGTTGGGAGTCCAGAGGCCTTTCCCCGGGGATGAAGGCGATACCCTCATCCCTTTCCAGGGCAGAAGAACCCCGTGCCCCGCCCCTTTCCTGTCATCTCAGACGAACGCAGTGACATCCTGAGGAGGGCGCATCACAATAGGGAATAAGGTGGTGGGCAGCCTCCCTCTGGGTGAAGAGGAGTGATACCCCACTAATGTGCTGCGTGGTTTTATGCTGTAACCGTTTTACGTGTGGTAAAGCTTTGTTTTCTTAAAACTTGCACGGAAGAGGTTCTGGTCTTTCTTCTTCAGATGCAGGTGCCCTGACACCCTTATCTTTGGGAATGGGGCGGGGGAAGGTGAGACATCGGTTAGTAATTTGTTAGTGTGGGCCAGTGTGACTGTTCCTGGGCCTCACAGATTTCAGCTTCTGCTTTCTCGTCAGTATTGAGTCTGTGATGAAGAGTCAGTAGTCCAGACATGCTGAAAGATAGAGCTTTACTTGCTTGTGGCTTTGTGCACTTAGCAAACGAGATTATTTTACGAAGATTTATTATCTTTCAGAGTTTTCATGCTTTTTATTCAAATTAGCAATCTAAATGAAACAGCACAGGATATTAGTTGTATTTGTACAACTGAGTTCCTTCCTGCCCCTATCCTCCCAACCCCCGAAGTACACAAATTTGATCAAAATGTTTTAGAGAGGGGGTTAGGGATAAATTTTCAATGAAAGAGACTGTAGAAATCGGAATAAGAGATATAATAAAGAATGCAGCCATAAGGGCCAAAAGAGTTTCTGTGTTAGAGAGCCTGTCCAGGATTGAAGTTTAGGCCTGAAACCCAGGTCTGAAGTTGTCATTTGAATATAAAGCAGAAAGCAGTAGAAAATACTTGGGAAGGGATTTGAAAATGAACTAAGACTGGTTAAAAATAAAAAAAAAAAAAGTAAGAAGAATTATTTCTGATGATATAAATGTGTTTTATAAATTTTTCCAACATTTCTCAGCGTGTATGACCTAACTGCTATTATATTAATACATACAAAGTAGGAAGGAAGGTTCTAAAGCGTGGAATGTGGTAAGGAACCACCAGAGAGTAACAGTGTTCAGACAGAAAAGCTTTTAGTGTTTCAACAATGTTTTTGTGTTCTTTCATCTTTTTTCTCACTCCCAAAAAAGCTTTCAGATGGACTTTTAACCCTATGTAATTATGTTACCCTTCCACCAGTCTGAATCTTTCTCACTCCTTCTAAGCTGTGTGAATTTTTAAAATTATTAACTATGGAGTTGCAAACCACTGTGGTCTGCTTTTGGCTTTTTATAGTAGGTGACTTAGGGAAGTATGGAAGTCATATGGAATATATTATGCACCTTTCAAAGCCATAGCAAGAGCAACAAACTCACATGCCTTTGGGTACTAGTTAGATAATGAAAATGAGGGAAATGCACTATGCCTTATCAGAGAGACATCCAAGTCTGAGGTCCCCCTAATCAGTGCCATATATGAATATGGACCCCATCTTCAGCATTCTCAAGAGAAACCAGAAATCTAGATTTTTACATTCAGTGTCTTGCGTCTTAAAAATATTGGCAACTAATTAAAACCATTAAAAATATCATGTGGCTGAATCAAATTCAAACCTGTCTATAGTTGCATTCTCCTTTCCAGTTTAGAAGCTCTGTTATAGATTAAAATTAATAAATTTTATGACTGGAAAAAAAGGAGGTTTAAAGCAAGTTTGGAGTTTCAAACTTAAGGGGTCTTGGGAAAAATGTCACGTCTAATTGAAAACAGTAGTTAAATTTAATAGCCTTTAAGTATGGTAGGGCAAATTGAACTGGTATTTACTATAAACATTCTAACTGTGGAAATAACTGAAGAAAAAACATCTCAGTATTTATGGTTTAAGAACTCAGAGTTCTGAGCATAGCTGATTTATAGGTATCTTATACAGAAATTGGATTATTTAGAAGCTCTTTATTGTACTTGCAGCTAATATATAAAATTAAATACAAAACACCATCTATAGTCCATTTCAGGATTTGAATGTTTATTGTTTGCTGTGCTATCCCACATTGTCTTCCTAGGCATTGACTTTTACTGGAAGAAGTACTGATCCCTTGGATTTTATTCCATGCCAGATGGAGATTGGAGGGGTTTGGCAACAGGGTGGAAAGAAATGGGTGGAGAAATTGTGATGTGAAGCAAACATTCTTGTGCCCCTTCCTTACATTGTTTAAAGGATTGATTTGTGTTAGTTTTTCTTGTAAGAAGGATAGGTACATTAATTGATTAAACTTAGTGCCTTATACATAGTAAAGTATAATGACATGTATGGAATTGACCTTTGTGGATTAAGCCTCATTTACCCATTAATGTAAAGTAATTTAATCACACAATCTGATTCATACCTAGTTGAGTTATGGGGAATGGAGTGCTAGAGGTCAAACCTAAGTAAGAGGTGGTTTTTAGGCATATAGAGGGCAAGTTGAGAGTCTTCACTGGGGATAAGGGTGAGAGAGGAAGTTAGGTAAGGGAGAGAATTTTGAAAAGGTGGGTGAAATGATTAAGTACCCATTTGTGTATTGTGCAGTTTTACGAAGAGGTCTGCCTTTTGTAGCTAAATTTATCATAACTTGTGCAGAGACTACATAGAATACTGCTTTTTAATCAGGACTGCTTTGGGAATTTGCAGACTTGATTTTCTTCATTTTAGCTCAGTCATCTCAGGCCAAGCTAGGCTAATATCTGTTCATTCAATCTTTGCCTCTCTCTGAAATAGGAAATGAAAGAAGAGGAGATATATATTGTGTTTGTGAGATGCTCCTGTTGAAGAGCACTACTTCTGAGGAATTTGTTTTATATTTGAGAAGATTGTGCTTGTTGAAGGAGGAACTATTATTTTTGTCTCTAGATGTTTCTACCATGACTCATAAAGTAGGAAGTTCTTTTTTTGGAAATAGCTTTCAGCTTCTTCCCATCCCCTGAGTGGCCGTCCCAAAGGAGGATTAGGGGAGGCTAGGGGAAGGGATTGAGTATACTTTTGTTCAATGCCTTATGATTCAATTTTTGGGACTCTCAATTCTTAGGCTATACATTGTCTATTCATTTGTATGTTAGGCTTATCTGAGCAGGCTGGACTACTAATACTATGAGGGAGAAGATAATGGAATGCCTACAGTTCTAACTGGGTAAGTTTAATTTGCAGTTGAAGTAATAAGGGTTTTTGCACATTGGATTCAGTTATATTTTTATCGTCATCTGTTTGGATCCTTTATTTTTTGTTGATTCTGAACCAAAAGTAAGGTGGGTCAGGAAGGTACAGATGTTACCTTGTTTTGTTAATGGAGAAAGAACTATTAAAATATTTCCTCCTTTTTAATAGAGTCTTCATCAGGGTTCAAGTCAATGTTGCATTTCCCTTAATATATCTTACTCTCGTTTACTTTGAGATCTTTGAAACTGAGACCTAGTTTGCTAAAGAATGTAGCAATCAGCCAGCCAGGCGTGGTGGTTCATGGCTCACATCTGTGATCCCAGCACTTTGGGAGGCTGAGGTGGGCGGATCACAAGGTCAGGAGTTCAAAACCAGCCTGGCCAACATGGTGAAACCCCATCTCTACGAAGAAATACAAAAGTTAGTCGGGCGTGGTGGCAGGTGCCTGTAATCCCAGCTACTCAGGAGGCTGAGGCAAGGTTGCAGTGAGCTGAGACTGTGTCATTGCACTCCAGACTGTACGACAGAGTGAGACTCCATCTCAAAAAAAAAAAAAAAAAAAGAATGTAGCAATCTATAACTTGAAGATGGAAGGTGAACAATCAATTTAAAAAGATGCTCTCTGAAAGGATTGAGAAATTGTCAGGTAATTGGGAATACAATGAGCTGAGTATTTGAAATAGTAGAAACTTGAACATAAAGAGGAATGATTTTAATTTAAATATGTAACCTTATGTCACAGTAGATTTCTGAAGATTGTAAATTATCGTTGCCAATAAAAGCATCTTTCTGGCCAGGTGCAGTGGCTCACACCTGTCATCCCAGCACTTTGGGAGGCCGAGGCAGGCGAATCACGAGGTCAGGAGATCCAGACCATCCTAGCTAACATGGTGAAACCCTGTCTCTACTAAAAATACAAAAAATTAGCTGGACGTGGTGGCATGCGCCTGTAATCCCAGCTGCTCGGGAGGCTGAGGCAGGAGAATCACTTGAACTTGGGAGGTGGAGATTGCAGTGAGCCAAGATCATGCCACTGCACTCCAGCCTAGGCGACAGAGCAAGACTGACTCCGTCTCAAAAAAAAAAAAAGGAAAAAAAAAAAGAAAAATCTTTCTGCACCCTGTTAATAGTTTAATTATGTTATTCTGTTTAAATGTAAGGTATTTGATTATATGGTGCTTATTTTTGTCTTTGTAGTTGAAATGAGTGATCTATTAGTAATTTTGGTGACAACTTGAAATTATCGTTTAGTATTTAGCTCGGAATAAAAGTCTGTTATAGTGAATCACTGATTTAAGTACTTGATTAGAAACTATGAAAAATACTTTTCTAAGGTTATTTTATTTACTTATTTTGTTTATTTTTCCCTCCACCCACGGAAGCTGTAGGAACTAAGGTCATTTTAAATTGTAATCATACCTTTCTGCCTGAAGTGTCTTATTTAGCATCATTTAGATCTGAGTTTAAAGCCCACTGTTAGCTCTATGACAGTAATGTTAACCTCTCTGAGCCTTTATTTCCTCACATGAAAAATGTATATAGAACACAATGGTCAGGGATGTTTCTTGTTTTTTGTTTTGTTTTGTTTTGTTTTGTTGTTGTTGTTTTGTTTTGTTTTGTTTTGAGACAGAGTCTTGCTCTGTCACCCAGACTGGAGCGCGATCTCGGCTCACTGCAACTTCCACCTCCTGGATTTAAGCAGTTCTCCTGCCTCGGCCTCTCTAGTAGCTGGGACTACAGGCTCACACCACCTCGTCCAGCTGATTTTTGTTGTTGTTGTTGTTTTTTAGTAGAGAATGGGTTTCACTGTGTTGCCCAGGC